ATACTACCTCCGTCCCCGAAACAACTTCCCAGTATGACTTACACATATACGGAGTATTAAGGAAATAAACTTACCAGGGATAAATTTTACTGTTTTGATACTGTTTTGACATTGTTTGTCACTGTTTGACACTGTTTTGTACTGTTTGGTAATGTTTTGATGTAAATAACTTTCCATTTAATGAAATGAGAAGTTAAATTAGGAACATCCAAATAAGGAAAGTGAGAAGTTGTTTTAGGGACGAACGGAGTATAATTTACATATGTAAAATGATGCTACGTAAGAAAATAAAATAGGACGATGATAGCATGCAAAACTGCAAAAGTTGGATCGATCTACTTCGTATATTTTTAAAAGGTGATCCGGTGAGCACTTAATTTATTTTATTTAAAGATGTTTGTGTAGATGGTAGTGAAGTTGATATTTTATACTCTGTATAAGTTTTTTTTTTTTCATAAATCAATCTCTAAGTTTGAGAAATTGAATCTGAGTTTTCTCGTTGTATACTATGTATATAATACGGAGTATATAAAAAATATATTAGTGATATTAATGGAATAATAGATCAAGAACAACAATGAAAAGAACGGGATAATAATGCCACCCACTTTGTTGTGGTGCCAATCATCAGAACTTCATGACGACCAAGTTATAGAAGAAAGATGTTTGGTTTACGCTATTTTGTGTACCTCATTCGCCCACATTGTCTGTCCACGCACACAGAATAGTTTGTACAAAGATAACTTTGTACAAACCTACAAAGTTACGTAGACAGACAATGTGTGCGAAAGATGTACACAAACCGATGCACACCAAGCTTTCCTCATGATAGAAACATAAAGAGACGTCCATGATATGTACACTTTTTTTAGTTTTAGGACATCTTGAGACTCCTTTTCTATAATTCACATGTGGAGTCTGGCCCTCGCTTGTGAGCTTCCCTCCAAAGCTCGTAGATAGATAATTACATATTCAATCACATTCAATTTTCATCAGTATTGATTCCAAAGGATCAGTAGGACTTACACTACTACCAACCTAGGATTTCCACCGCACGAACCTTGATACCTTCATTATCATCGCTCTGTCCTCGGCTGCTGAACTACATACTCTGTGCAGTGAAGGCAAGCACAGTCACGGGGAGCAAGAGCTAGAGTTTCACCCAGCGGTACACGAACCTCGTTACCTCCATAACTAATCATTCATCTCCCCTAGTGGTTTTGAACCCAAAATGTCTCACAAAAGAGAGATTTTCAGACTCAAAGAGTGGTTCAATGGGACTTCAGCGAACTCAAAGATGCAACTAAGCACGAGTGGATATAGAGGAATTGTTTGATGATTTTCGGGTGTCCAAAATAAGAGACCAATTAGTTATTTATAAAGCTCTAGCCAGGAGTCTTTAACCCAAAAGACATCTTTTTAAAAGAAAAGTCACAACCTTTCTTTTAAGGGGAAAGAATGTGTCTTTTCTTGTTTAGAAGGACTTATCCGAAAATATATATTAAAAAATAGCAAAAAACTATCTCTAGTTCGTGAATTGTTGAATACCCTGAAATTGACCGGCCAAAGACCTGAACCTGACCAGTCGGACAGCAACGGTGCGCAAGTGTGCGTGTGAAGAGTTAATTCCACACTCACCGTGCATGGGTTTCATCGCTCAACAAAACTTCGGTGCCCTAAGGGCCCAACCCAATAGCTAAGGAAAGCTCTTATAAAGGCACTTCCTTAACTCTCCATTTGGAGTGAAGGACAAAGTCCTTTCCGAAACTACTTTTTAAACAAGCTTGAGGAACAATTTCTCATTCACTTTTTAATGTTTTCGCACACTTTAATATACGATTGTGTTCGCCTTTCGGAGTAGTCCGGGACTCGGGCCGAGTGGCCCGACCCGGAACCGGCCTGGGACCGGTACTGTGCTGAACTGGCTCGGCCCGGTGGCCCGGCCAGTGACCGGTCCAGGTAGGGCCGGCCCGGGGGGTTCCCGGTGCGGGCTCGGGTCACCCAAAATCCGAACCGGCCCGGCCGGTTCAGGCCCGGTTCCAAGCTTTTTATTTTTAATTTTTTCATTTTTTTTAACTTTTCGGGTTAGGCTGAGTATTTTGGGCCATTTGGGGGTGGGGGGGTTAATTAGGAAAAGGAAAAAACAATGACCCGAGGCCCGGCCCGGACCCGGTGGCTACCCGAGCCCACCTATTCAGAATTGGCGGCCCGCCCGGGCCTGGACCCGGACCCGGCCCGGCCCGAATCCAGCCCTATTTCAGAATTCGGAGTACTATAAATTAGGACTTGATCCTGTCACAAACAAGTTGTGGGTCCCATAATTATTTTAGCTTAAAGTTGACCATCATATTAAAGTAAAACCATTTTTTCAACACTATCTTTCTTAGGCATGGCAATGGGTCGGGGCGGGTATTGCAAGACCAGGACCCGCCTCGTGAATTGGCGGGGAGGGTCCGTCCCGCCTTGTGACCTGCACGGGTCCAAACTTGTTGACCCATGACCCGCCCCATGCGGGGTGGGGCGGGTATGCCCCGCCGCAACCTAATCTGCTAGTTTGTGTTTTTATTTGTGGAAAGTTGTTACCAATCGAATCTACATAATGTTTATCTCTAAATAATAATTAAAAATCAATATATTAAATCAAATTCATGATACCCTAAAATTTTCAAAAACTAAGGAAAAATTACTCAAACTTGAATAGTTAATCTAATTAGTTATATTAATAAATGAATAAATGTATTAAAATTCCATATATAAAGAAGACATTGATAATCCGTCGTGCATCTCATTCTAATATATATTCATATATTATAAGATCAAAGAATTTATGATTTATTGTATACACACATATGTATGTTGAAGTATATTTGTAGTATAAGTTAAGAAAAAATGTGTATACTTTTTCTAGTATATTTGTAGTATATTTGAGCGGGACGAGGCGGGTCAGGCGGCACGGGTCAATTCTAATACCCGGACCCGCCCCATTGTATAGGCGGGGCGGGACGCACCCACCCCATTTGCAAGACGGGGCAGGGCGGACCAGCCCCAAATGTCTCGGGCCAGGACGGGTTATTGCGGGCCGTTGACATCTCTAATCTTTCTTTATTTTTCTCAATATTTACTTGTAATGAATCATACCTTGCAATTTATTCCTATCCAAACAAGCACAATTATCCATCTGTGTTTTTCCTTACTATCTATTAATTGTAGTGCCCCATTAGTAACACCTTGATTGACTAAATTTGCTAAAATTGGTGAAACTCTACCTAAGGTGTTGATTTGGTTAAATTATGAAACAATCTTTCTATACTTTAGTACAGGGTAAACTGGTAAAGATGTGTACATCCGAACTCCCTTACCCCACCATAGATGGGGGACTTATGTAGGTAATGTAGCACTAAGGTGTTGTTGTTTTTAGTTTTTAATAAAATAAAGAAAAAATTATAAAAATAGATCAACTATCATTCATAACTTAGTCAATTTAATCAGAAAAACTACTGAAATCCTACTTATTTTAATTATAACACAATTCAACACGTGAAATCAAATGTTACGTGTTCAAATCCCGTTTGGTAAGCCCTACTCTTGACATATCAGGCAACCTTTTTATTGATCATATAATTGTTTATTGGCTAAAGGGTCAAATAGGCTTTTGAACTAGCTTAAAGTGTTCAATTAGCCCCTTATATAGGAGGTTCTGTCCGGCCGTCGCCAATTGGGGCGGTTCCCGATGGAATTTTTTGATGAAATTTTTTTAGCATGTTTTTCATTAAATCTAGTTCACCCATATCAAATTTCAGCTAAAAATTCAACCGGTAAGGCAATCAAATGATTTTCCAAAATGTACAGCGATGTTTAACTATGCAGTTATCTTCAAAAACTCATTTGACTGCCTTCCCGATTGAATTTTTAGCTGAAATTTGGTATGGGTAAACTAGACTTAATGAAGAAGATTCTCAAAAAAATTCATCAAAAATTCCACCGGGAACCGCCTCAATTGGCGACGGTCGGGTAGAACATCCAATATAAGGGGCTAATTGAACACTTTAAGTTAGTTCAAGGACCTATTTGACCCTTTAGCCTTGTTTATTTCACATGCGAAAATGTGTTAGATTCACATTCTTTTGAATCGTAATCACAAATTTTGTATTACGATCGAATAAAATGTCTGAAGAAAATTATTTGAAATTTTATAATGATTACATATGTGAATTGGCATAAGCACCAAAGCTAGACTGTCAATATGAACTCCTAGAGATTATAAAACATAACAGCATATAACGCTCCAAAAGAGGGAGCAAGATTTATAGACGTCGCAGGGGTGGCATCTCGGTTATGTTTGATCAAACCGAGACAGAATCATATTCATTCAATATTTCAATTCAATTTGAATTTGAAACTATTTCTTTTAAACTTTAGTTAGCCCAACTGAAACTAGGAAAACAAAAAAATGAACCTAACTGAAAAAGTATAAGAGACCTGAACATATTTTTGTAAAACAGCAAATTCAAATTGAACTAAGGTACTTCACCGAAACGTCGGACGAAGCAACATAAGATGAACCATTAGATGCAAAGTAATTGAACGTTCAAACATAAACAGGAGGATACAAATTATAGAGCCAGTTTGGTAAGGGCTCAAAAGAGCCTGATTCTCTTCAATTTTCTCAAAGCAACAGCTCTTGCTACCATCCATGTTGGCAAAATAAGTACTCCATAAGTACTTATTTTGTCCCCTTATTCATCTTTAAAAAACTCATTATTTAAGAGAGAATTTTGTTATCAAAAGCCATTTATTCTCCATAAGTACAGAAATAGCCTTTAACCCAAGTTGTATTTTCATTTCTCTTCTGGGGTGTTCCTTAACTGTAAGTAAACCTCTCATTGCAGATATCGTCAATGCCAAAAGTTGCATATTATCATGTTGTTAAAGCATTCCTGTGATGGCTTTTATAGGCTTTCACAAGTTTATGATTTTACGTTCCACTAGTCTTGATTGCATGCATTACTATTTTGTTTGTTAATAATAGCAGGATTTGTGCATAGGCTTCATGCCAGACAGCAAGACAATTCAAACAGGTTAGGCAAAAAAATCCCTTTAATAGATAATAGGCCTAACTTAAACCTGACAATATAGCTCTGGCCTGTTAATGTGTGGCCTGTCTTGTTCCCAAACCATAATTTAAAGCAAAAATTCAAATATACGACTGCTTACCACATTTGAGGATGTTCTGTAACTCAGATGTTCAAAACTAACAACAATCCACAGAACTAATCAGCATTTTTATTCTTGAGAACAGGACTCTTGACATGCGCAGAGACTCCAAAGGATTGCAATGATTTTATAGAACTCTCATCAAGATGGATATCCCTCAGGCTCCACATATAAACAGATTTGAAAACTTGCACTTTACCATCACATGATTAGAACTCTGGAATATCTAGCTGCTGCCCTGCAGATTTGAATGGGAAAAGAGGGTTACAAAAAGTGATTATCAAGTTCCTGTCAGAGTGATGCAAGATTATGAGAGTATCCACCCTAGGCATCCATCCTAGACAATGGGGAATGAAACTAAAGAAGAGAAGTTACTGGAAGGTACACATTGTAAACCTTTTTACTTACCACGTCTCTCCTAATAATGAAAGTTATTGTTTAACTTTAGCGTCTCCAATGTCCGAATTGACCATTATTATATACAATTATACATTATCTAAAAATATAATAATTTAATACAACAACATTACCCCAGTGCCCCTGTAAGTGGGATAAGGGGGGTCAAATGTACGCAGCCTTACCCCTGTACTAAAACACAAAGAGACTGTTTCCGAATGATCCATGAAACAAAAATGGTCAATAGAACATTCATCTTACATCTTATGCAATTAATACAACAAAACAACTGATTAAAGAAGTTGATTTGAAAGACATAAAGTCACCATCATTTTGGGGCAGGGAGTGATAGATTAGACTACCTGGTCAAAAGCATAGCTTTATTAACAATGCATCAAGGCCCTTAGAGAAAATATTACTAACATCTTCCTAAGTTGGAAAAACCAACCAGCTATTGGAATTCAGATAAACCCCGGCATATTGAACATTTTTCGCAGTATATACTACCAGGCCTAAGATTTAGGTGTCACACTGTTGGGCTTTCACTTGCTTAAAACCGGAAGCTTGGGTAGAATTAACTTGCCTGCCAAAGTAAAGTTGGGTAGAATTAACGAGCTTTCCAGCCTAGAATTTACACAAGCAGGTATTTATTTTATTTTGGGCTCTTATCATACTCAGTGATAATTCTAATTCTATCCAATGAACGAAGAATACTAGCAGGCAAATAAGCCAACAACACACTCCTAACAATTGATCGTAGTTGAATTGTTGCCCATGCACAAAGCCACAAATATGCAAATCCTTAAGTAAGAGTCTCATTTTATAATACAACCATAGTCCAACTTATTTGTATATGATGATGCATATCATGCATTCTCTCTGAAACATCACACTTCAATTGGTTATTTAAACTAGAAAGTTTTTTAGTTCAGAAAACCATTAAACCGAGAGGGTATAATGAAGTGGCTTAGGTTGATTTTTATTATATATGATTGAATTTAAAAGCAAAAGACTATAAATTACTACAGTAAGTGATCATGCAAGTGTATTATCTCATTAGTCGTAAAATCATCAATAAAAGAAAGAAAAAAGTATAAAAGTGATATTTTATATCTAACAATATCCAGATATCCTTGAGAGTTGAGACTATAATAACATCATTATTCTTCAAGCAAAAGTTTTTTGGCGAATCGGGTAACTACACATTTAATCAGATTGAAATCTCTATTCTTGGGGACTGAAGTTATAATGCCCATTTCAAGAAACAGTTAATAAACTAATATAACAATATGAATGATATATCATACTTGGCCAGTTTCTTCCCTCCAAGTGGGTCCTTGGCTCCTCTCGTCCCCATTAACATTGCTTCTCTGTTCCGGTTGCGAGAACCTTTGCTCTCTGGGATTCGGGTAGTTCTGCCCAAATGGAGGTCCAGTAGTTGTATTCCACTGGCCAACCGTTGGTTCTCTTCCAAAATGTTCACCTTGGGTTTGACCATAGTTTTTATTTTCCCCTCCAAAGGCTCTCTGAGTGTCAGGTGGGCTACCCTGTAGATCATGTAGGCCGCCCTGATAGTTATTCAATCCACCAGGGCTGTTATGCACTGGCACGGCACCCCTTTGAGTGCCTGGCGGACCATAGTTATGTTGGAAACCATAACTCTGTTGGGATGGTGGATTCTGAGGTGAGACGTAACTCTGCTGTGGGCCCATGTTTTGCCGTGGTGAGAAATTTTGATGTTGACCAAAATTCTGCTGAGGAGAGTGTGGTTGACCATATGTCTGTTGAGGTCGAGGACCTTGCTGTGGTGAGCCATAATACTGTTGAGGCGGGGGAGGATGACCCTGTTGAGGTGGACTATAGGACTGTTGATGAGGTGGAGGACCCTGTGGTAGGGGGTACTGCTGGTACGGTGGAGGAGGACCCTGTGGTGGGGGGTACTGCTGGTAAGGTGGAGGTGGACCCTGTGGTGGGCGGTAGTTCTGTTGATGAGTAGGTCCCGCTGGTGGAATGTTGTTATGCTGAGGTGTAACCTGGGGCGGGATGTTGTTCTGTTGAGGTCCACCTGGTGGTGGGCCAAAATTTCCAGTTCTCTGGCCATCATATTGTTGATTTCCTCTCTGATTCCGGCGTACTTGTCTCCCATACTGTACAGGTGGTGGTCTCTCAATGATTACTCCATTCATGTACTTGTCTCCTAATATATAGTAAAATAAATGTAAGCTAAGCCAGTAAAGAACTACATACATGGGTTATAATAACTAGTGTTTCTTGTACAACAGTAATGGATAGATCCAAAATTGATATGAAGATTATGTAATACATACAGAGTAATAATTTCTACCTCCATACTCTTTGTTTACTGGATCAATATAAGAATCTGGGAGAATAAAGACTACTCCAGGTAGACCTGGTAAACAAAAACAAAAGTCAGACCAAAAAACACATCATTTTTCAGACAACAAAGAATTGCATACCTTTAAACTTTTCTGAAGTTTCCTCAGAGCATAGGACCTGAAAACCTTGGTATGTTGTCGTGCTTAAGGCATAGATCTTTTGTTTAGCCTCTTCGACGCTGCAACCATTTAGTAATATATGTTTGCAAAATAAAGATTCTCAGTTATTGAATTTTCTAATGTTAAAAACTCCAACAAATCAGTATCAGTTAATATATTGATGGTAAGAGATTACATGGATTTGGCATCCACATAGTTTAAATCATTGCATGTATCAATCAAGTATTAAGCATTTAAATGCACTCACATAAGTTAAGACCAAGAAATCCAGATACTGGCAGAAGGAAATGTGTGGCGAATGATACTACAATCCTTGAAAATTAATTAGACATTTACAATCTCCCAGAAACCAAGCTCTTTTGGATAATGATATAACAAAAACGGCAGTAACTGATGCTAAAATCTATATCAATTAACCATCTATGACACTTTCACAAGACATTAATTTCTTTTGATATCAGAACCTATGTTGTAAGAACCGGACCGGAGGGCGACCCGGAGCGATGGTCGGGTCAAGGGTCAACCCGGACCCGGCCGGTCAACCCGGTCAAAGACCGGAAAACCCGGTCAACTCACACACACATTTAATATTTAATATTTATACGTATATAATATTAAATTCTAATGTTATTCTTTCATAAATTAATAATTATGATACAACATAAAGCCATTATGAAATCATTATTTAGAGTTGGTTTTTATAATAAAATTTAAAATAGATGTGGATGTAGGTGGATAATAAATATAGATATAACATCAATTACAAAATCATTAAAATATAATGTAAATATATTCTCACATTTAATTGAGATATGGAATATAATATAGTCCGTATAATATATATGCATTATTATTGTTGTTATTATGAATTGTTTAGTTAGTTAATTAGTTAATGTTAATGAATGGTACGCACGTAATATGGAATATAACTGTGAAAGCTATACGCTTTACCAACAAGTGACGGTGGCCGAGTGGAAAGAAAGCCGAAACTCCTTCCTAGCAATGCAAGTTCGATTCCCGCAGGTGACAAGTCAGTCATTTTTCCGGGTTTTTGAAAAAATAATGGGTTTATGCGGTTCGGACTTCTGGGTGCGTCCCGGTTCTACTCGGGTCACTCGGGGTTTTCTGGGTTTTATCAACTTAGCGGGCTGGAGCATAACCGGACCGGATCAGGAGCCGGGTGACCGGGTTCCGGGTCGACCCGCCCGGTCCGGTCCGGTTCTTTCAACATAGATCAGAACCCGGGATACATTTGCTCATCCCCTAATATCAATGCTCCTCATTTCGCATGAATAGCCGCAACATCTAAAATATACTCCGTATGTGCTTAAAACTCAACTGACCACATTAGACAATATAAAAAGTACTGTATTTTACGGTATGATATCATATGCCCCACATTTAAATTTGTATCTTTTATAACCTTTATGAAAGATTTCAAATAGCCCTAACTAATGCTCCTTCCCAAGATCAACGGATGAGGCAAAAAAGGCTAGCATTAACCCTTTATATACTACTGCGTAATAACTTTGCCGTATAAGAATATGCATAGAAATGTGAAATATGAACTAACTAAAGACTCTGAGTGGGTATAAGTACACTTTTACAAGGCTATAATGAACTTATGAACAACCAACTATGTGTTGTACTACAAATATCCATGTACAAATACGATGCCTCTTAAACATATCTCATTATCTCATACAACAAACGCCTTAGGTTCACGAAACAGAGCCTAGGAGAAACAATATGCTAAACAGTAAAATTATGACAATTGAACAGAAATAGTAGCATCCGCGTGAGTGGATTTAATAAGTGGATCGATACATAACCTTCCGAAAACTTTAGCAGCAGTCTGAATATAAGTTTCAATCATTTCCTCGCGAGTGGGAGACGAATCTTTGGGGAACTCCATAGTAATCAGCCAATGATTGTAATCACATCCTTCAAAGAGGATGGTATCGGGGTTGATTCCTTCGTCAGTCGAACTCCGGTCAGGATATCGAGACCTGGAAGACAACGAGACTGGCGATGCTCTAAAGAACCTAAATTGAGAGACAAATGGGGATTTAGCGTTAGAAGCTGGGGCGTAAGAAATGGGAAGTTGAGCAGGCGTGGTTGGGACATGAGGGAACGGGGAAGTGCAGGTTGACTGGTGGAGGTGACGATTGAGTATGGATGAGGAGAGAGAGCTAGCTCGGCGAAGGCGGAGCGAACATAGCGCCATCTCTAGACGGCAGTGGTGACTGAGCAATGACCACGGGTTTAGGGTTTTAGTGTTCCTTTCTGTGTCTTCGTTTAGCAATAAGCTTGTTGGTTTTTTAAATACTCCCTCCCTTCTCTAAAATAGTTCCCATATTTTAAAAAAGTGGGAATAAAGTGTAAATATATGGTTGTGATTGTGTAAGAAAAAGGTAAATGAATATAAATAACACAAAAATTTCTAAAAAGAGAAATGAGAAGTATTTTTTGGGATGGCCCAAAAAGGAAATTGGGAACTATTTCGCGGGACGGAGGAAGTAAGAAAGAAAGAATAACAATGGTAGAGTAAAGAAGTAAAGAACTACTACTTTATTTGTATGTAATGAAGAAGTGAGCAATATATTAAATTTTTATAATATTAATTTTGAAAATAAACTACGCAGTAGTAGAGTAAAAAGATAAAACTAAATGATGCTACAATTAAATTGTTTGGCCAAAGACATTATTATGTATAACTGTATAAGCAGTTTTGAAAGTATTAGGCTTTGTTTGCAATCACTTGTGCTTAAATAAAATCATTTTTGGGAAAAAAGTGATTAGTAGTAAAAGTTGGTAGTGTTTGGTAAAATAAGTGTTTTTTATGTAATAGAAAAAGTAAAAAGTAGATTCTACACGGAAGCCGAGAAAGTAAAAGTTGGTAATGTTTGGTAAAATAAGTGTTTTTTCTTAAAAAAAAAGTTAAAAGCACTTTTTTTAATGGGTTGCAAACAGACCCTTAACCAAACATATGATTAGTACATATTGATACATTTCATAGAAAATGTACAGGTAAAACCCCCTATCATTTTCTATCTTCTCCACGCATAATAAGGGTTTAAAGTTTAAACTTTATGAGTAGAAAAGTACTGAATCTATGAAACCAAGCCTGTGAGGCCTGCTTGAGACCGTAAATAGCCCCGTGGTTGAACAAAGCCCCGTGGTTGAAGCACATAAACTTCTTCAGTAAAATGACCATGAAAAAAAAACATTTTTAACATCCAGTTGACTCATAACCCACCCAACAGAAATAGCAAGAGGAAGAACAATACGAACCGTGGTGGGTTTAATAACAGGACTTTAAGTCTAAAAATATCTACATTAGCCTGCTTATTAAATCTTTGATCAACTAAACACGTTTTATGGCGCTCAATAGAACCATCAAAATGATATATCGTCATATAAATCTACTTACAACCAACCACATTTTTAGAATCATCAAACAGTACAAAATTTCATTATTAATTAGTAATAAAAGTACTAAATTTATTAGCCATATCCTCACGACATTTAAAATGTTTATTTGCCTATGAAAAACACGTGGGATCAGCTGAAGTAACAAATGTATTTAAATTAAAAATGATTTAAAATTGGAAAAATTGATAGTAATAATCCCAACTATTGATGGTCCGCCCATAATAATCCCAACTATCGATTATTTCAGAATAATCCCAACTTTAGGGATCTTCCGCCAATAATGGTCCCTATAAATAAATTCTCGTAGTTTCTAAAGTGGATGAGAAGAGATATAACAAGTAATCCTTATAAATAATCCCAACTTTTTATTTTACGCTTAATTTCTATTTAAAATTCACTTTTTATAGGAGGTAATATATGGTCATGGACCATTATTGGCGGATGGTCCATATAGTTGGGATTATACAAAAATAATCAATAGTTGGGATTATTATTAGCGGACCAGCAATAGTTGGGATTAATATTTTCAATTTTTCCTTTAAAATTTTCAGATTTGGCCTTATTTTGCATGAGATGGACATTAAGATAAGGAGGATGCAAATCAGGCTGGGCAGCTGGGACAGGCAAATCAGGAAATGTGGGTAGGCCGGCGGTCTGGCGGAAAGGGAGTTGGTGCGGGCGGTGATTGGTGACAGCTGAGCCGGGGTGGGTTCGGGCTGGGACTAGAGACAGCCTGGCTAGGGCGGACTGTTGTGCGGGGGGGGGGGGGGGGGGACTGGTGGCATTCGGGCTAAGTCGGGTTGGGTCGGGCAATGTGGACGCAGGGGAAAATATTGGTGGCGAAATAGTCCTAGAGTGTACCGCAAAAACCGGTTCCACAACGGGAAGTGTAGTTGGCCAAATGGTGTTGCTAAGACTAAATGGGATAATGTTGGACAGTGGGAGAGACATTGTCGGATTGGATCGGGAGAAGAGTCTAGAGAATTAAAGGAAAAACATTTCCATGGAACCAGGGGCGGAGCCATGTAGAAGGTAAAGGGGTTCAAGTTTGGTTTAGGACTTGTCTGTTTAAGTCTGGTCTGGGACTAAAAACAGTTCATGTATAAACATCCTAAATCTCGCTCTCTCAATATCAATATGTGATCAAAGTTCAATTTACATCATCCCAAATAATTTTTAGTCGACTCTGAGGCCCGGGTGGTACATCCTCCTTTTTCTCTACCATACTAACGCTCTTTGGCAGTCCTTGCTCAAGGTAACTACTAATCTAGGACAATGACTTTCATATTTACTATTTCCATAAGTAAATCGGTTGTAAGTTTAGTTTGTATGTGCTGTTTACAAACTACAACCAAATGGCTAAAAAGCATGCATAAGCATTAGGTAGATGACTAAATTTGACTATGGACATTATGGCTAAATGGTCCAAAGGTGGTGTGCCCACAGCTATTTTCATAAAATTAAAGAAAACAATGTGTAAAAGGGGATGTAGATGTCCCATTTTCTTTCATTTCATAATAAACATTTTACACATTTTTTCTTCATAAACCCATTAGGCTTACACAATCTAGTAAGTTATTTTATATTTAAGGTATTCTCAATCGCCGAAGGCTCACAAGGTGTTCTCACTCGGTAGAAAATCTGATGCATAACTGCATAAGCAACACCAAAAGAGTATTCTGCCAAACGAGCACATATTAACATGAATATCAAGAACAAAGTTGACAAAAATGAGATAACAATCATTTACTTTTCCCACCTAATGTAAATGAATTAAAATAACACTTACCATACATTCACATAGTTTAGACTTCAGAGTTAAACTCAAAACACCTACTTGTTGACCAGATTGACACAGCACTAATATGTATTATACATAAACTCAATGCACAAGCAACCACAGCACCACGGAAATAGATAAAAAAAAAACTCTTATCACCACAGTTTCACACTCCTCTATAAACTCCATAGGTGGCTGGGACTGTCTCATGAGCCTTTTTAGTCAATAAACAAACTATAAATTTACATTTTTATTAAGCTTCACACCTACAAATGAAAGAAAGAGTACACGAACTGACAGAAGCGGATCTATCTCAGGAAACTGGAGGAACTTCTCCACTTTCATGTGCCTGTTTCACTTGCCTGTCATACTCGTCCTCTTCTCCCTCTGGATCCTCTTCATTCTCTTCTTCTTCTTCTTCGACTTCCTCACCATCTCCCCATCCAAAACCCCCAACGGAACGGGAAGCAGGGGGAGGGCTCTTAGCTTCTTCCACTATTTTCATTATCTCCTCCACGCTTTGAAGGGAAAAGGTCGGGTTTTCTCTCCTGTAATACGCTGCTTGGGCCACTTCTGTTAATTCCCTTGGTAGATTCTTCAGAAACCAGGGGTGTGACTTTATTTCTTTAAGTGAAATCCTCTACAAAAATAAATGTATCACTGAGGAAAGCATAATGGCACAACAAGATTATGTTTGGATCTTGGAAAATGAAATGAAAGTGGTTTTCTAGTGTTTGATTTTACCTTGGAAAATGCAAGGAGGGATGTTCATTTTCAAACTTATTGGATATGTTTAGTTTTCTTTAGTCATTATACAGTAGAAATAAATGAATAAATGGAGCGAGTTTTAAAATATCAGAAATAAATTTATAGACTTTGGACCAATCTATTCTTGTCTATTTCCCCCCTGCATTTTATCCCTGCCAACTTTCTCCTATATTTAACTCTATCTTCCTTGCTTAGCATTTATCGAGTTCTAAATGGACCCTAATAGCCTAACTGTATTTTTATGAATAAGGATACCGATGCATTCCTTAACAAAAAAGGGTAAGGAAAATATGATGTATGTGTGTAGAAGAATAGTCAGAGTAAAAGTAATTACTCCCTCCATCCAAAAGTAGATGTCATTTATGCCAAAAAACTTGTCCTAAAATAATTGTAATTTTATGAGAACAATGTCTATTTTGTACTAACATCTCAAATTTGACCCTATTAATCTTATCACGTTAAATGCTTTTGTGCTTTGATATAAATAAGAAGCACCTTATCACGTCATCATAACATGTGTGAACTTTTATGAGAAGTCAATTAATTTGAGAGGTAGGGAGTAACAAGCAATTAATAGAGGCATTATAGATTAGAGAGAGAGAGAGAGAGAAGAACCCTTGATGGAATTGGAACAAATATTCTGGAGAGAAGGTGCCTACAATCTTGAGATACGTGGACATAGTCAGGAACCTTGTACTGCACAGCCATTATGCGCTGGAAAAACACGAAAATGTATATGAACTTGTGGAGTATTATGAAATAAAGCACAGGATGCAGTTTTCTATTTACTTACAAACAGCAAAATGACTAGCACCTTGCAATACATAAAAGTTGAAGGAAGAAGATCTTACTTGAATAGTTTTCCTGAAATTCTTGGGATCTTCCGGGTCTTCAAAAGGGTAGGCCCCAACCAGCATCACATAAAGTGTCACTCCACAGGACCATACATCAGCCAGCTGAACAAATATAAGCAACCATGAATAATGAGACTTGCAAGGTGAATACTGATCACATATATTAAATAAGAATCCCAAGGTTGAAATCACATCCAAAGCTAGTTTATCTTGCTACGAGCCTTCGATAAGTAATGCCTTTTTTATATCCAAATATCCAATAGGTAGTTATAGGTACAACCCTCGTGGCCCCATGGCCTCCTAAAATTGAGTAATTATATTCATCTCATGCTCCAACCAAAGAAAGGAAGAACAGCAGTTAGGGTATGTTTATTATTCAAAGAGAAAACAATGCTAAGAAAAGTTATCTTCTTTTGTTTGGTTTTACCTTGAAAAAGGCCAAGAAAAACGAGATACTATTAGTTGTTCTTTTTTAGTACACTTAAATATTGTAGT